AAAACGACCAGCCAATACATAAATAAATTGTCACCTGCATTAAACAACTGCGTCTCAAAATACGTTTGTGCGGTGCCCAGCCCGCCTATACCACGACCAAGAAAAGGATTTCCATGGTTAGCCATCAGGGCCCAGGCCTCGGGCCACATCCGTTTAAGTCGATCGTAGAAAGAAAAAGTGAGGTCGGCCCAAAACGGATCAGAGATGTAAAAATTATAATTTACAAACCAAACCGACAAGGGCAAAAGCAAACCGATGAGACCGAAACTCAGAGGAATCGTACGGCACAAAAACTCAGGGATAAGCCGCTTGAAAAATACAATAGGTGTGAGCACCAAAAAGACGTTGTAAATCCCTTTACTGGTTGTCAACGCAATGGCCAGACCACTAAAGAGCCAAATAAAAAGGTTGCGCCAAAACCCCTGTCGCAACATAACCGACAAAATAGCGAGTAATTGAATTTGGATCGCAGCGTCAAACGAGGCGCGAGAAAAACCTGCAAAACGCTTACCTCCACCAGTGCTTTGCCATTCGCGCGAGCCTTCAATGGTCTGCCCTGCAACCTCATATTCAAAGCCTTCCCAAGGATAAACCGTTACCAAATTAAGCAACACCCCCATACAAGCCAACAACCAAAGGATAAAAACCGTTTGCCGCAAGCGCTGCGGATCAGAAAAAAATACCGGTGCACAAGCCAAGCCGAAGAAAAAGGGTAACAACACATAAGCCCCAAAAGCCACTTGTTTGAGCGGCATTTGCAGCAAGCCGAGCGCTGCCCCATAGACAAACACCAATATGGTCAGTACCTGTAAACGCGTAAAGCCGGTTTGTATGGCACTTTTCCCGAAAACGGCCATAATGCCCACCAACAAACCAAGCGAGGGCAAGTACACGAGGGGGGTGAGTTTGACCAAGGCCAAACCCCAACGCAAAGGCGCCGTAACCACATTAGCCGCACAGAAGACAAACAACACAATTAATAAAACACGATCCAACACCGGCCTTTTTGCGGGTGATGGAGCTACGGTGGACAAAGGGGTCGCGGATGCGCTCACGGCATTACAAAAGTATTTATGCTTTACGCACGTTGCGCTGTCCGTTGAATAAACTGCACATATGTATCTATGCGCCGCTCCGGCAAAAAATACAAGGCCCTAGCTAAGCAGGCCGCTTGCATGGCAAGGGCTAAGCCAGGCACTTCTATAAAACGCCGCATATGCGCCTCCAGGGCGCCTATATCGCCTGGAGGAAACACAAAACCTGTCTCCCCTGGCTCTATCATCTCCGGTATGCCGCCACTTTCAGAGCCTATGACCGGCAAACCATGAAAATAGGCCTCGAAAACCCCATTACCCAAAGCTTCGAGCCCATAGGTCGGGAAAACCAAAGCATCCACCTGGGAAAAAACTTCTCGCGGATCGCAAAAACCCAACATCTCGATTTGCGAAAAATCATACTGCGCACGCATCTGGGCCAAAAATGCCTCATCGGCTTTTCCCCCCACCACCAAACGCACCCGATCCGGTGGTAGGCGGCTAAAGGCAGCAAGCAAAGTATCAAAGCCCTTGGCCCGATCGACACGCCCCAAAAAACCAAAAACCAATCGTCCATCATTCGATGCCCGCACACGAGGCTCAGGCTGTACACCCGAAGGCATACTATTGTGTATCACTTGTGACGGTATTTGCAAAAAAAGCCCATGCTCTCGGTGTATCCGCAACACCGCATTAGAAACACCCACTACCGCACTCACGTCCTGCGCATGCCGCCAACGCGGCTGGCTTAACACACGGCAACCCAGACAACGTTGGGGGCCAAAACCACAATTTTTCCCCTTACGAAAAAGCACCGTCTGCGGACACAAAAGCGCAAAATCATGCACCGTATGCACGATGGGCACCTTTAAAGCCGCAATGGCAGGCCAAATAGCGGTAGAAAACCCTTGCAAATTATGCGTGAGAACCACATCCGGCTGGATGCGCGCTACATGTTCGCGCACCCGTTGCACCATAACGTGATTGTTAACATCACGCACATGCCAGAGCAAGCGCGTGATTTTAGAACTAGGCTTAGGTTCCGCTCCTTTGGTGTCATAAGGCCAATACAAATTGTGCAGGTGCAGGGCATTCAAATGTATGCCGTCCTGTACATAGTCCTGCCGTTCGGGCAGTTTATTGGGAACCAAGGTAAGCACATGCATATCATGCCCCCGATCATAAAGACCTTGATTCAAAGAAGCGGCCGAGCGCTCTGCGCCTCCCACAACCAGTGGCGGGAAGAGGGCGGTTATTTGTAAAATTCGCATATGCAAGCCCTATACCATTTAACGCAGTTGACGCCAACGCAACAACATGAGCACAAACAACACCGCCTGCGCGGCCAGCATCACCAGAGCCACCGCGTTGAGCACAAATGCGGGTTGAGCCAAGGCTGCGACCAGCGGCAAGCCCAATAGCAAAATCACGTTGCCCATGTGCTGGCAACGTGCTAACTCGTGCATTAGGCCTCGTGCCACAAAAATATATTCACCCACACCGGCATTAAGCACCAAAAAAACCAACCAAAACGACAAAATTTGCAGCAACCGTGTATAAGCCGTAAACTTTTCACCAAACACCACATGCAAAGCGTGCGGCGCCAAAACAATAACGATTATCGCCGCCACACAGGCACCAGCACCCATCAAACGTATCAGCCGCGCAGCGAACATCTGTCCCTCAGACGTATCCAATTCGTAACTGGCAGTCACCCGTGGAAATAAAGCTCTTTGCACAGGCGCAAACCCGGAGGCCATTGCTCGCGCCAGTTTTTCCATCGCAGCGAATACCCCCACCAACTCTTTGCTCTGAAACAACCCCAATACAAATACCGAGGCATTATTTAAAGCAGCCGAAGAAAAATCAGAAAGAAAATAGCTCCTACCATCAACAAAATGCAGCCGTAAGGCACCCCACCCTGGCCACAACCAGCGGAGCCGAAAGTGCATAAACAAGACTGGTTGTGCCAACATACCAGAAAAAAACGTTGCCCCACACTGCAAGAAAGCAGCCAGCAGCAAATCGGCCGGGCGCTTGACCAATAAAAAAATTAAAGCCGTAGCCAATAAACGCCCGCCTAAAAACAAAAAGGTCGTAAAACGCATTTGCTCCAGCCCCTGAAACACCCAAACCGGAAAGCTCAAAGACCCAATAACCGTAAAAAACGAAATCAAGAAAAGGCTCCACTGTGCATGCAAAGTAGGCACGAAGATCACCAAAATCACAAGCAATACAAAACACGCCAAGACCAAAAAGGCCTTGGTGATTTGCGTGCGCCAATAAATCATCCGCGTGCGATCAAGCTCTTCTAGGGGACTCTTCAAGGCCGCCAACTCACGGGTAGCGCTCAAATTAAAACCAGCATCTACAAATAGCACCATAAAAAAAGTCAATGCATAAGCAAAAGACATGGAACCATAAGCATCCAAACCCAGTGTGCGCACCAGGTAAGGCAAGGTCAGAATGGGAATTAAGTAATTGGCCGCTTGCAGCAAATATAAGGCCACAATGTTTTGTTTGAGGCTGGCACGCTGCATGGGATGAATAGGAGATCGTTGAAAACTAAGGGGGGCTGATGGCAGTCTCCAGTTTAGCTTGCAAAGTGCCGCGCACCCTACCACTAAGCTCAAAAATACCGCTTGAACGTTGATAATCCATCCTATCTGCACTGAACACATCACCGCCTTCTTTATGCACGACTATCGGTGTATCGGTGTAAATATGCTCCCCTTTTTGCGCGATATAGAGGCGCTCGCTGCGCACCTGAAGGCTCGGCGCTGTTGTTTTTTGGTGTATAACCTGGGCCTGCCCGCGCAGCTCAATCAGCTGCCCTGCCTTGTCGCTATGCGCAGTCTGCGCACTGGCTAAGATGCGGCTGCCATCTGGACGCACGCCTTGCAGCTGCGCTTGCTGAATGTCAACTTGGCCATCACTCCAATAATTCACCTGCCGCCCGCCTACTTGTCCCAACTCCTGACCTTGGGCGTCGTAGCGGGTGGTGGCAAAGTTTTGCATGGTGTACTCAATCTGCGTACGCGCTGCAGGCGAAGTCTGTGCCAAATCAGGCAGCGGATTTTGTCGCACCAACCACCAAGTGGCCAGTGCCAACACCGCTACCAACAAAATAGGCAGATACAGCGTAAAGGCCAGATATACCCTTTGTAGAAAATGGCGCTCAGACCTCATAAAGAAAGATGGCCTTTGCGGTGTTTTTCCAACTGGATAAGGTATTGGCCCTGCGCCTGTAGCACCACATCAATCAGTTCACGTGCCGCGCCTTGCCCTCCTTGCGCCAGCGTGACGTAGTGCGCAGCCGCTTTTACTTCGTGGTGGGCATTGGCTGGCGCACAGGCAAAGGCCGCGTGCGACAGCAGGGGCAAATCGGGCCAATCATCGCCCATGGCAGCTGCCTGCCCCCAACCTAAACCAAGAGCGCTCAATAATTGTTCCGCCGCTGGCAATTTGTCTTCTGTCCCCAAGGTAAATTGGCTTATACCCAAGTGCGCCAAACGGCAGCGCAGCGCAGGCGAATCGCGGCCACTGATGACCGCCGCCACAACACCTGCGCGCTGCAGCATTTTCAAGCCATGTCCGTCTAGCGAGTGAAAGGCTTTGAGCACCTCCCCCTGGTCTGAGTAATACAAGCTGCCATCGGTGAGCACGCCATCCACATCAAAAAACACGACGCGCACTTGCGCCGCCAGCGCAGAAAGCTCTTTTGATACGCTTAAAGCCCCGTAAGGGACTAGAGAATGGGCGGGGCGGGGAATCGGTAAGTTGTCTGTCATACGCATCCTGTCAATTTAGGCAAGTTCATCATGTAAATCAAATGGTTAAATTACTTTGGCACGCAAAAGGTCATGGGTATTTAGTGCCCCCACCAACAGGCCTTGCGCATCCACCACCAAAACACTGCTGATGCTGTGCGCCTCCATCAAGGCTACCGCGTCAACGGCCAGCGCATCCGTGCGCACCGTCAAAGGCTGTTTATGCATAATCGCTTGCGCAGACAGCGACCGCAAGTCACGACCACTTTCGACCAAGCGGCGCAAATCGCCATCGGTAAAGATGCCCACGGGTTCACCCGTGGCATTGACAACGGCCGCAGCGCCTAACCCCTTAGCGCTCATTTCTTGCATGACAGCGCTCAAACCCGCTGTTTCGCTCACCCGCGGTACCGCTTCGCCTTGGCGCATCACATCAGCCACATGCGTGAGCAGTTTGCGGCCCAGCGTACCGCCTGGATGCGAGCGGGCAAAGTCCTCTGCCGAAAAACCCCGCGCCTCCAGCAGCACCACGGCCAATGCATCGCCCAAGGCCAACTGCGCAGTCGTACTGGTGGTGGGCGCCAAATTGTGCGGGCAGGCCTCGCGGCTGATGGCCGCATTGAGCACCACATCTGCATGCTGCGCCAGGCTAGAGGAGGGCTTACCCGTAATCGCCACCAGAGGCACTCCCAGACGCTTGATGACAGGCAAAATACTCGTCAACTCGGTTGACTCGCCCGAATTGGAAATCGCCAGCACCACGTCCTGGCTCGTCACCATCCCCAAATCCCCATGGCTGGCTTCAGCCGGATGCACAAATAAAGCGGGGGCCCCGGTCGAAGCCAAAGTGGCCGCAATTTTGCGTCCAATATGACCGCTTTTGCCCATGCCCATCACCACCACGCGCCCTTTGCAGCCTAGCAACACATCAACCGCCGCGGGCAAGCCACTGGCCAACTGCTCGCGCACCTCGCGCAGGCCTAAAATCTCCGCATCTAAAGTGCGCTGGGCAATGCTGATTTTCTGGTTAGGCGTCAAAAGCATAGATCATGGGGCAAAAAAAGGGGCGGTCTGTCTTATGATTGCGGCTGGGAAAAGAAAAATCAAGGTGCAAAAAGCAAACCGCTCCACCTCGCCCAGACCCTCAAGCTTCATTCTAAAGTATTTCGTATCTGCTCTTTCACTCTGCGCCTTGCTTTAAATACGCAAAATAAATAGCAATACACCCAAAAA